ACTGTACTGACTGATACTGTACTGACTGGTACTGTACTGACTGGTACTGTGTTTGTGTGTGTTTTTCAGGCAGGAAATGAAGCAGTTAGCCAGTGCCCTGGATGAAGAGAAGAAGCTTCGTATAAGTTTACAAGTAAGACCGAAACAGATGTGTCAGTTTTGTTTTTGTGGCTGAGAGTTGAGAGGCTAACGTTACCAATAACTGACGTACATTTGGTCATTCCCATAAAAGTAATGCATCGATTTTACAGCGATGGTGAAGTTGTACATTTAGGCGAATGCAAACTGAATATCTGGTGTGTTTCTGCCCGTTCTGCCATCAGTTGGAAGTGGAGCACATAAAGAAGAACCTGATGAAATAAAGACTGAAGCTTCCACACTCTAATCACTCAGACACTGTCGCCAACACGAAGTGTGTGCCAAAACATCAACAACCAAGAAATCAGCATCACAGAGTCAGACGCCGTCACTTCCAGCACCGCCTTATCCTCTGTTTACATCTCTCTTTTTTTGTGTGCGTGAAAAAGGCCCCTCTCCTCAGTTTGCGCTCATCTCAACGGAGCTTGCTGTGCCACCGGTACTGTTATGACCACAGCTCGTCACTGGGAGTCGCCACTGAGACCTCACTGGTACTTTTTTGTTTCTAATCATGAAGGAACATTGGGACTCAACCTCAAGTTCCTTCGGTTGATCCAGAAAACTACTTTTCTCTGTCCAACTCTGTGGCCTCTGCATCGCGTTTTTTGTTTGTTTTTCACCCGCGTATGAACCACCGGTTTGGACCTGCACAATGAGGCCGTCTGGACCAGTACTGACTCCACCAGACTGGGCCGAGGTAACAGACTACAGCCCAAACTTTAAGGCACATCATTAACAAAATTGAAGTTGGGGTCTTTAACTCTGTAGCCTGGTTGGTTCAGAAAACCTCAGTGCTGTGTCCACTCTGTGGCCTCTGCCTCTATAAAACATGTGTGTGTGTGTGTGTGTGTGTGTGTTTGTCCAGCCCTGTGAGGACTGTTGTGAGGATCGATTTCTACTTACAGTTTATGATATAGAGTTGTTGCCCAGAGTGATGAGTCACACCGTTGTCCGCCACTAGATGTCTGATGTTTCTGTTGTACACCGCAGGCAGGTGAAATGGAAGCATCTTCTCTTAGCTCTGTTCTGATGGTCTTATTTCTTTGCACTGCCGGCATCTAGAATGAATAAATCTGTAATAAGTTAACAACGAAAACATTTCATTCTATTTTAAAAAGTACAAGAACTAAATCAATCATATTCATACTTGAATTTATGGTTTTTAGTATAAAGCAGGTGAGACATTTTGAGGTCACTGCTGTGCTGATCAAATCTCTCCCCAAAACTCCAAACAAAACGTTTTCACAGACCACTGTTCTCTGCGATGTTCTAAACTTGGAAAGATGGTTTTGTTTTTGGTCCTCACAGGTGAAGGATGATGTTGGTGCACGTATGGCAATGTGTGCAAGTTATAGTTTGTTTGTTTTTTGCCTCCTTTCATACACATCTGTGCACAAAGTTAATGGCAACCCATCACTGTGGCCTTCCCGCTTGACTCTTTTAAAAAATCTTTTTTTTCTTTTCTGACATATGACAACGAGAAACCTGCTACAACTGAGGCTACAAGTTGTCTTCTTGACTTTGTCCTGTCTCACCAGGATAGTGATAATTATATATATAAATATATATATACTTTTATATTTCAGTGTAATAAAGATGCTATTATCTACTGTACATGTGCCTTTTATTTTGAAGAGAACTGAAAAGTCTGGACCCAGTACTCATGTGTACTGTAGTGAACAACAGCAGGATAACGAAAAACAATAAAACAAAAAAATTTGCTAAATATAAAATATATCGAAAACACATATATGTCTATATGTGTATATTTATGTTATACATATAAAATATTCAGAAGGTAAAGTGGAGCATGGAGGAATTTCTATGAAAATGTAATTAAATAGAATAAATAAATAGAAATACTTCTGATAAGCCACTAGGAGTGTGTGGTGGTGTGTGTACCTGCAGCAACCCTGCCCTTTGCTAGGATGGTGTGTATCCCTTTGCTCGATAGGGTTTTATAATTTCATGGTTAGTTAGATATTTGGGTTAGTTGTTGGAGTTACATTTTAGACAGATTTAGATAAAACAGTCATGTTAATATCAGACATTCATATTTTAATAAATTATATTAGGAAATTTCTCTGAGGCTCAAAACAAAAATTTCACGACATGTTCTTTAAAAAAAAATTAAACATTTTGATGGCTTAAAAAAACAGACTTGTATCATTTTTTTATTTGATTTGTTTTAATTTAAAAATAACTAATTAATCCAAACAAAACCACAACAGTAACTGATGTGAATGAGAGCAGGACAGTTGTTAAAAAACAAAACATAAGCGCTCCTGTCACATGTCCTTCAGGGGGCAGTGTTCTTCTTAGCCATCTTGCTTTTCATCACTTCCATGTCTGTATCAACTGAGGAAACAGTGGCGTGAGTCCTGGTCTGAGCCGTGTGTGTCACATGACTGATTCTGATCACTTCCTGTTTTTGATGAAGAAAAAAAATGTTGCCACAAAAGCAGAAGCGAAAAAAAGGAGCAGATGACGTCTCCCAGATGTCAGTGACCGGAGCTGATGTTGTTCTGGTGTCATGAGGTAGCACTAGTGTTAAGCATGTGTCAGGGGGCGGAGCCTATGTCCATGTGTTGCTCCTCTGCTGCCATGGCAGCAGCCTGCAGCGTCTCTGTGTCGCTCTGTAGTGGATTCATCTGCTTCCTCTCATTGTGCATGTTGTTCTCATGTCGCTTAAGATCTGACGCCTGAAATAACAGAGGGACAGTAAACACAGCGACACCAAGAAGTAACACACACACTGGTGTTTGGACAGTATTAATACAGTGATTATGACCTTGGCAAAGGCTTTAGTGCAGGATTGGCAAACAAACGGTTTCTCTCCTCTGTGTCTCCTCTCATGATCCTTCAGGTGAGACTTGTGTTTGAAAGCCTAAGAGAGAGGTGAGGTCAAAACGTGAGGAACGGGGCGGAGCCCTGGAAGGACAACTCTGACATTGACAAAATCTTTAATATCAAAGCTACAAGCCGGTTTCATGGCAACGCGCGGCAGACGCGATATTGACGATTTTTTGACACGCAAAGGGCGTGGGGTGAAAAAATGTCACATCATGCTCTGTGTAAATGCATCGTCATGCAGACAGACAGGTGTTAGGCAGACAGACAGACTTACCTTATCACACATCTGGCAGGAGAACGGTCTCTCGTTGCTATGAACGCGCTCGTGTTTTTTCAAATCTGGAGCTCGAATGAACGACTTCCCACAAACGTCACATCTGTACGGTTTGAAGCCCGTGTGGATCTTCAAGTGCTCTGAACACACACAGTCAACAAACACAACTCTGTCACTCTTACTCCAGTTATACAGCAAGTAGTAAAGTGCGTGCGCTTGTTTTTACCTTTCAGGTGAGCGTGTGTGGTGAAAGCTTTGGTGCAGATCTCACAGGCAAAAGGTCTCTCTGCTGAATGAAGCTTCTCGTGCTTCCTGCAGAAACAACACACACACACACACAACAGGCGTTAGTTCGTTTTGCATGTTAAGTGCCAGTGTTTGTGTGTGTGTGTGTGTGTGTGCGTACCGACCTCAGTCTGCTCTCATCCAGGAAAGTCTTCCCACACACCTGACAGCTCAATTGTTCTCTGTGTCCGTACAGCAAATATTCAAACTTCATATCGGTGCTTGTCGTCGTCCAACCAGGCGGCTGCTCGTCCTTGACTCCGCCCATACTGTCTGTAAATGTTAGTGTCTGAGTGCTGTGATGATCTGAACCAAGGTCTTTAGGCTCCGCCTCCATCTCTGTTACCACATCCTGGTCATAACAGGTCACCTGCTGACATCAGTGGTTGGTTACTTCCTGTACAGCATACGAATGCACATGTGTGTGTGTGTGTCTGCATGTGTGTGTATACTCATACCTTGTGCACGTCGTCATTAGTCAGTTCTTTCAGAATAGCTTCCTGGACTCGAAGTGAAGCGCTGGGAGATTTATCCAGCTCCTGATTGGCTGATGCTTCCACAAGGTCATCAGTGCCCGTGTCATCGTGTTCCCCGAGCACCTGGACATAAACAGAATCCTGTTGGTGATCAGCTGGTATTAATGAGAGACATCATTGGTCGGTGAGGTCAGCCATCGGTGTTACCTCAGAATCTGCAGCGAGTTGGGCTTCAGGCGGCAGCGCCATTTTCACAATGTCGTAGGGAAACTTGTCCTTCTCTTCTGCTGACATGTCTCGTTTCTGAAGACGGGCAGAGATCTTTTTTTATTCATTTAACACATTTTTAGCAACTGTGTGATAAATTTTGTTTATTTATGCGACATTACCTGGGAGCAAAGTTTGTCCAGGAATCGGATGCCGAGTATCTGACCTGATGACATCATCAGATTGACATCTCTCTTCTTGACGGAGATTTTGGCCGTGTACATGTAGTTCAACACTTCCTCAAAGATGTCGGAGCGAATGAAGTCAATCTCGATGACCGACGAGTTGTCCACCTAAACACGCACATTTGGAAGGAGCATGAAGCAGTGATCCGGTGATACCAGTTCATCAGTCTGTGGACTTTCACTCTTTCAATTACTGTACTTCACATTTGTGTGTGAGTAACCTCGTGTTTCTTGAAAAGCTTCTTGAAGTAGTGGGAGCACGCAGCGAGGACACAGCGGTGAGCACGAAACTTGACATCTTCCACCACGACAGCGATGTCGCAGTGTTCGCCCTCCAGACGCTGCTCGTTCAGAAGTTTCAGGAAGATGCTCTTATGTTCATCGTCAACGTACTTGACTGTCTCTGCCATCTGTGAACGTAAAAGGTGATGTGATGCCCATGTCATCCTCAGAACTTTAACAATGTCTTGTTTTAACTATCAAAAATTCTTTGACTGTCAAATAACAATGCTTTAATATCTTGTTTTAACTATCAAAAATTCATTATTTGACTGTCAAATAACAATGCTTTAATCATTAATTATCATCAGGGTCATAATATTTATCAATAATCATTTATCTCAAATCAATAGTCACCATTAACCAAGTGGTTGTACGCTGACTGTTAATCAAGATATCAAGTTATTATTAAAACCTTCAATATTTATCAGTTAACATCAATAACAGCTAATAATAAACTGCAATGTGCATACATAAATATGCAATCATTTTAGGGATACATAAATATCAATCATCTGTAATAATTATCAGTAAACTACGAAAAAATATGTCATCAGTAACATTTCATGTATAATATATCAATATGAGTCATCAGTAACATTTCATGTATAATATTCAATCATTATTATCAACATCACTGCCCACCTAAACAGGTGTTTTCTCCCTTGTATCTCGAGAACAGTCGTGGATTACGTCACTTAAACAGAATGTGTCACTGAACACATTTTATATGATGACGTCGTTTAACCTCCAGCTTCTGTTATGACATCGCTGGTGACTACGTCACTGAACCCCAGTTTTTGTTGTGAACATCTGACAGCAGTTCATGTCTCCTCAACATCGGACACGCGCTTGAATGCGCATACACATCAAGGTTGCCTCTGGATAAACGGAGTCACATGCTAGCCATTTAGCGTCACGCTAAAAGAGAAACTTTAAGCTTTTCTGTAGGAAACAGAACGCCCAGAAAGGTCGCGGAGACATTGGTTTGAGGCTGGACCCAGGGCCGATTCTTTTCGATCTAATCTTAGTCGGAGTTGGGGGTTTTAACGAGCCAGTAGAAATAGTAGTCGCGGATAGCGTTTGCCAGAAGCAGCTAATATGCTCATTTAAAACAGGAGTCCGCAGGAAAGAATTACAGGTGGAAACAAACCACGGTGTAGTAATATGTTTACCGGTAAACGAATACCCCGTTGAAATGCTAATGAAATGTGACATGACAAATGTGATTATTCGATTTCTATGTGCTCGAGCGGACTGTCAGAACAGAGGGGTCTGTAGTTAAATGGCGGACACCTTATCTTTCTATGTTCTCTTTCACTCAAAATGGCGTTTGTGTTTTCTCACCCTCAACCCGCTTCACTAATAATTACTACTGTCGACCAGACTGGGAACGGGGCCGCGTACCTCGCCGTCCCCGACCACGACACACAAGCACGCGGGCGGCGGCGGGGACACAGACGAGACGGAGCTCGAGTCTCCATGAACGGCTCGAGAGCGCGCAGGCATCCCCGCGGAAACGAGGCCGGGCCCGCGGCGGCAGTTGAGCGCGGCACCGGCGAAGTGGCTCTTACCTTCACTCAGGCCGTAAGGGCTGCGTCCCACCGGGTGTCCGTCTGTTGGAAGGGAACAGGGCTTAGTCCGGGTATTGTTGTTGTTGTTGATGAGGACGAGCACTAAGCGGAAGGCACGCACACTCTGCAAGAGCACGCAGGAAGCGCGCCAAGCATCATCCGATGACTACTACGCATGCGCAAGACCCGTTTGATAGTAGAGGACCAATGTTGACCCGCATACCTGTTTACATGACGGTCACCTGTATTTGTCAACATTATCCGTTTCTGTTCATCTGTTGCAAAACATGTGTTGCTTGACACAGACTAGAATAAAAGGAAACAAACAAGTTGTTTCCCAGTGTGTTTGTTTTCCCTAATTCCCCTTTTAATGAGCCAAGATTGTCTCTTAATAAATGTCTGTAGACATTTTCCATATTTTAAATAACATAGTGAAAATAATTTATTCAAATGACACCTTTAACAACAAATGCTAATAAGCTTTCTCACATGTTGGATTTTATGCTCTTTTGAAATGTATCAAAGCTGCTCCTGTATTCCTATGAGCTAAAAACAACAGTTTTTTCCTGAACTTTGTTGTGTAAAACACAGAGGTAAAATTATGGTTCACAATTAAATTTGGGAAATTCACTTGGAAACAAAAATGTGCTATAAAAGGCAGAATGTTTTTATTGAACCGGGAGGCACAAGGTAGAAACCCAGGCAGATATATCACAATATAAAAGCCATTCCATGATTGGATAACATCTTTAAAGGCAAGAAACATGAAAAAATAAACTTAGCTTTGTGGATTCTTTTTTTTTTTTCATTTCTAAACTTATTTTCTAAGCTATAATCCCCAGGATTAACAGCAGGACTGCCAATGCTAGTGCTGGGGATTGGACATCAAGGACTACACTACCCAGAAACCCCAGAGTATATATTTGATAAAGATATTTATCTATCAGTGTTGACCATATGTAACCATCGATGTGATATTGGAATAGCTTCTACAGGAGTTGCTGTCCATCCGTTGTCAGGTGACTGTGGAGCAACCAATCACAGCAGCTCGTACTGTCGCAGGTGCATGCGCTGTATGATGTCACGACAGTCGTTGAAAACACGGCGAATGTTCTCAGTGTCGACAGCACAGGTGAAGTGAGGGTAACAGTGATGTTTGCTGTCGCCACTTGCTGTGCTGATCCTCTTGAAGAGACACCAGAGTCAGAACATCAGCCAGTTTGACAATGTTATTTGAAAAATGTCAGAACAATTTACTGTTGTCTTAAATTATCATTTTTACCAGGAACTCATCTCTGATGAAGAACTTGGCTCGAGTCACTTTAGGATCTTCATCGGCGTCTGGGACAGCTGCAAACACATTTAAATAAAAAAAGTATGAATTCAACTTACAATACTTACAATTACAGTAGACAGTATAATGTGAACTATAAAAATCATATTTGTTTTTGTGGATCAGTACCATCTGTAGGAACTTGGTAATTGGTGTATTCTGGAAAGTAATCCTCTAATTTGGATTTTCCTGCCAGAATCTTATCAGCCAGGACGTCCTGTTTATTCAGGAACAAAATCACTGAGATGGTCTTCAGAAACCTGCAGCCAATCACAGAGCAGAGAAAAGTAAGTTCTACATCCACAGCCAATGATATAGAAAGAGGTGAAAACAGACGGCCAATGACAGAGAAGAGTTAGCTGCAGACAGTCACAGAAAAAAGAAACCTAAAAAACAGTTAGTGTGTAGAGCATAAACTGCAGCCAGTCACAAAGCAAAGAAAATTACAGCCAATCAGCACTTGGCAGGCCTCAGTTGCCCCACCTGTTGGTCCAGATAGACCTGAACAGATCTAGAGATTCTCGAAGGCGATTTGTGGAGTTGTCTTCTCTGATGACCATGTTGTAGCTGCTGCTAGCCGCCACAAAGATGATGGCTGTAACATCTACACAGATGCACGGGTGTTCACTTACTCCATGATGACATCATCACATCAAATCATTTCTACTCACTGATTAGCGAGGTTAATTCTTACCATTAAAGCACTGGATCCACTTCCTGCGTTCGTCCCTCTGTCCGCCTACATCGAACATGCTGACACACAAAATGAGGTCAATAGGTCACAGAACATCCAATGAAAACACTAAGATAGGTTATCATGGGAGTGGACGGCACTCACTGGAAGTTGACCTTGTCCACCTGAAACCTAGTCTCAAAAATACCAGACGTCAAAACCCTGCAACGCAGCAAATCCTGTGAAAAGATGAAGACGATCAGGAAGTACACAGACCGAGGATTCACCCTGACGTTGGTGATCGGTGGCTTTCTTACCTGGTCGGTTGGTGTGTAGTCCGACCTCCTAACAAAGTCTAACCTGTCCAGGAAACTAAAACACACACACACAAAATAGTATGACGCCCACAGCAACTAGTAGACGTAGTAGACGGTTTTGACAAAATCGACCTCACTTTAAAAACAATTTAAGGTTATTAAAATACAGACACTGCTGCCTCGTGTGGTCGGTTTGAGTCACTGAGGAAAATTTAAGTACATTTCCAACACTTATTCCCTCAAATATTTTACTTCAACAAGTATGTGCTTCCTTACTATTGAGCACAGTCAATCAGTTGATATTCGTTGGCGCGCTCGAAACACGCTTTAATGCCACTGTCCTCCCAGAGCTGGTGAGTATGCTCGAAGAACTCCTAACAGACAAGGAGACACAGACAGAACATTAGAAGGTCATGGGTCCAACTGGCTGAAATAAAAAAAAAGATCAGCACTGACTTGTTTGGTCTGTGAATAACAGGCGTAAACATTTAAATAACAGCATCAAGTCAACCAATGAGCCACAGTGGTAGAGACAACATAAACATAAAGAGAGAGAGAGAGAGACAGAGACAGAAAAGAGGCGCAGAGGGACGCTTGTTTTGTGTCTGTGCGTCGTCCTGAGGGACAAAGACGATTGTTTAATGAGGCCTCAGGCGACACACACGCTCACATACACACGCATACATTTCATCATGTCATTAACATCATTAAAACAAACAAGCTCTTAACGACTCTCCTGGTGATGCCATCAAGGAACAGTAAGAATCACATGACCACACACCTGAAACGATTCATGACAGGTGAGACAGCACGGTCACTTCCTGTCCATCCAGCAGTGATGACATCACCCCTACACATGCATAACCCAGGTATCTAAGTACAGTAATGTGTGTGTGTGTGTGTGTGTGTGTGTGTAACCTCTGTGTATTCAAAATCAGACAGCGGCGCGATGCTCCTGATGTAGTCAACTCTGAACTGGTTGCCAGGGTTACCAACGGGAATAGGTGGAATCAGTGTGCTCATGGCTGACACGATGGTCTGAAAATCAGCAAAACACACACACACATGTACACACAGTCAGTAGGACGAGCTGCTGTAGAGCCATTCTTCAAGAAACTGTGACATACCACAATGGCATCTTTCACATTTTTCCTGATGTCTTGAGCCTTCTCCTGTTTTTCCCTGATATAAAAAAAGACAGTGAGGTATTGTCATGTACTTATCAATTGCAAACTGCAAAACTCAACAGGATGTAGACACCAGGGGGAGTCCTGCTTGTTGACGTACAACTGGTTTGCTTACTGAAAATAAACAACAAATATTGAACTTAACTCAAGGCTAGCATTTAGCTCTGATAGATCAGCTTACAAGCAATTAGCCTTAACATTAGCATCAAGGTATTTTTATTTGCTGAGCAGATATTCTAGGAGACACCTTTTACATTATTATTTATTCTAGGGGTTCAGAATTTGAACTTTGACAGTGGCCAATTATGCACACGTCTGGGGAGTGCTGCTAGCTTAGCCTTAGCTCCAGAAGAGCAGCTGCCTTAGAATCAGTCTCTGAGGGGTAGATAGCCTTACACCAGTCCTCGGGGGGGAATTTAGCTTAGCATAAACCCCAGGGGAGGACTTTTGAGTATAAAATAAACACTAACAACATAACAACCAGTTAAGTTTCCTTAAAAGTGTTTCTGAATTTGAAGGATAATGTAGCATTTAAAAATACTGTGCGGTTTTGTAATACACCATCTTCATAATGGAGCTTTTTTCTGGATCCTTAATGAGTTTAAAATGTTTGTCTTTTTTAAACTAAAGTAACAGTTTCAACGTACTCATCGTTGAATCCATCAACGTGAAGAATCCTCATCTGCTTCACAATGGTGCTTTTACCAGATTCTCCTGCACCTGCAGAAAAAAACATTCAGATGGAGAGATGGACACGTAAGAGCAGGGCAGGTATGAGACGGAGGGACAGAGAGGGAGACACTCAGTCTTACCCAGCAGCAGAAGTCTATGTGTAGCTTTGTAGGCCTGTCTCTCCTTCTGTAACTGTCTCTCGATCTTCTTGTTTGCTTCTCTGTTTGCCTTTTCAGCCAGACGTTCTTCTTCTGTCTTTCCTCCCAGACAGCCCATCACTCCTGTCCATTAACAACCACACCAGCAATAACTTCAGGACTTCAGTAAAAGGCGGCAGCAGCAGGTTCAGCTTTGGGTTCAGAGCTCACTGACCTGATCACTGACCTTCACGTCTCAGCCCGTTCACATCTGTGTCGTGTCATCAAAGTCCACAACAAACACGAAGCGACAAAACTAAATCACAGCGGCTCCTAAACCAATCAGCATCCAGTTCTTCTGCCCAGGTCCAGATTGAAATCCAGAGTTAAGTCCAGTGTAAGGTCCAGTTCTCCTGCTGGTGTTCTTTGTTCTGTGGAAGTGAGAGGAACACCTGAGTTGTCTCACTCTCCTGCTCCTCCTCCTCCCTCCAGTCTGACTGCTCCTCATTAGCTTCCC